CAACTGCTGATAACAATTCCGATACAAGAGCTCTTTTCACTTTTAACTTGTTTGCTTTATGGAGGATGGGTTCAGGAAATTGTCAATATATGCTCCTACTTTGCATGATTCACTGCCACTGTATAATACTACTGCTGTCAAAAGTAATTTCAAATGGAATTGTCCAGTTTGGGTGATTCATGTCTACCTGGAATTGTGGAATTGACTTATCACCTGTAATCGGCGACAATAATTACTAGCTGTTATGATCAAAATGTAATCAGAAAAACAACCATAATTATGCATATAAACTGATATGTGATAAAAGTGGTAACCAAAGATCTGATTGTTCCCTATGTTTTTTCCAGTGTCACATGGCCTACACACTTGGATCTGCACTGGGTCCTCAGTGCTGTGTTACCAAAGTGGAGCTGTCCGTCTGCGGCAGTAACCTCCTAGATCGAGATGTCACCTCCAAGTCAGACCCTTTCTGTGTGCTCTTCTTGGAGGTGGATGGCAAATGGGTGGAGGTGAGAATGGCAAGGGGGGGATAATGTGGGTATGGGTATAAAATGGGTATGGTGATGGCCTGTGGGGGGAGCACTGGTGGACAGTGGGACGTGAAGACCAGGGGGCCTGTTGCTATGTCTTATAGCATGTCCAGCCTGGGGGTTACTATAGTGTTCTCATTCAGCTCTTAATTGATTATATACATTTATCTGTGCCATGTGAATGCCAGTATGTGCCTTTGCCTGTGAGTATTTCCATCTGTGTTTGTATGCATCTATGTATGTGAGCAGCAAACAGGATGGGGGATTTTGCATGGATTAGAGGGACTGTTATAAAGACTAGATGGATCAGAGTTGGGCATCAATATGATACAAAATTCTGTGGGGTTGAATCAAACTTGGGACTGACGCTTTGAGGGTAATAAAGGAAACTATCTGAACAAACTGAGGGTTACAAAAACAGAACAGCTCAATGTAAGGCACAGGTGAAATCAGCAGTGTAAAATAATCTGTGTGTTTTGCAGATCGGGCGGACAGAAACAGTTTTAAACAACCTGAACCCCGTGTTTGGAGTAAAGTTCCAGGTGGATTATCACTTTGAGGAGATCCAGAAGCTTAAGTTTGCCATGTTCGATGAGGACAAATGCAGCAACCAATTGTATGAGCATGACTTCCTGGGAGACTTCACCTGCACGCTCGGGGTGGTGAGCAATACCATTTCCCTAGCTGTGCTCACTCTCCTATCTCTTCTTTTACTTTTTTCTTCACCTTTTCTTAATTTGTTCTTCACAACTGATCAGGTCTCTCTCACCAACAGATTGTCTCTAGTAAGAAATTGCATCGGCCTCTGACTCTGGCTAATGGAAAACCAGCAGGAAAGGGTGCCATCACTGTAAGAAGCTGCAAGCTTGCAAATATGCACAAGCACGCTCGCGCACATATGCATGTACCTCAGCATATTGCTATTTTTCATTTAACCGTAGTCCTTAGTCTTAGCAGAATAAATTGATGACAAAATGTTCTTTCCAGTAGATTTTAAAAGCATAAAATGTTGCTATTTCAGGAGTCATCTGTCTTCACATGATGGTAAAAGTCCACAGCAGATAAGTGTTTATAAACATGCACACACACACAGATCATTTTCTTGTTCATTGAAGCGGATGATGCCATCCTCTCATAACTTGGTTTGGGGGTAAGAGCTATTGACCGAATGACTCTTGGTGTGACACTGGATGTTCTTGTGGAAACTACCTGCTGTGCCGTAAGTTGGACGGGTGACTGGGGTGGTGCATGGCTTCCTCTCAGCAGCACACTGTCACTAAATCTCCTTTCCAGGATGGTTTCCTGTCAGATGGCATGAGTGATAAAGACCTCCCCGGTTAGGGCAGTTGGCACTCATCTCAAGGGCTTGACTCAACATTTTTTCATTTAATCCCTGCTGTGATTTCTTAAACATTTTTAACGTCCTCCAGATGGCTTTACAATACTTGATTGAGCCTTTTGCCGTAAGTGGTGGTCTGGCTTTCTGGCTACACGTCCACAAACCAACAGAGAAGACATTTGGCAAAGGAAGGCGTCAGTGCTAAGGGAGTTAGTGGTGAATAGTTATTGAGTGACATTGTGGTACTCTGGGCTCAGTGAATGCGAAAGGCTTCTGAGTCAAAAGATTTTTGTACGGAGTCCAAGTTTCAGATCTGCAGACGGGTGTGGAAATGCAGGCAGAAGTATTGGTGAAGACCATGGCACTGGTTTAAAGGTTGCCAGTGTAGGCCAATCAAAATTGAGAGAGGTGGGTACAATTTAACAGTTGGGAAGAAAACAGTGCCAAAATGCATAAAACAAGGAATTATACTTAGAGAGAAATCTTGATGTTTCACAAGAGTGGTGAGAAGCTTGCACTTGCTCACCTACTTGAGGTGAACTACACACATTGCATTATTTACACTGCCTTCATCTTTGCACAGTGTCAATGGTTACATGAAGCATTATTTTTAATTGTACCTCCAGATAACAGCACAGGAACTGTCAGACAACAGAGTAATCACACTCAGCCTGTGTGGGAGGAAACTGGACAAGAAGGTGAGATCGCTGACAGCACTCTGTCTGTGTGACTCTGCTGCCTCTGTGAACTTAGCTTTATGTCCGGATGTGTCTCCAGGATTTCTTTGGGAAGTCGGACCCTTATCTGGAATTCCACAAGGAAGGAGAGGATGGGAAGTGGATGCTGGTCCACCGGACAGAGGTGCGAGCTGTTCTCTTTTACGTATGCACATACTCTTTCATGTGCATGCACATGCTGGCAGGACATTTAACTTGCAGCAAAGCAGACAGACAGGCACACACATGCATACATACATAGACAGGTACACACATGCATACATACATAGACAGGTACACACATGCATACATACATAGACAGGTACACACATGCATGCATAGACAGGTACACACA